TTACCACAATTGGGGGGTTGATGGCCTGATGGGTTGCCCATAGGGGACAAATGGGTGGAGAGATGGGGGCGGAGGGGGCCTCATCATCCCAGGAGGATGGTTTGTCCTCCATTTTTGAAAATTTTGGGGGTTATTGGCTTCAGTTTTGTAAGTTCTGATAGTACTACTGGGCCAGGGTGGGGGAACTTTCCTTGGTTTGAGGAGATGAGGTGAGGTGGGAAGAGGGCAGTCAATAAATGTAGGCCTTGATTTGGGTGAGGAAATTACTGACTTAGGTTTCTTAGGAGGTCTTTGGCAAAGTTTTGAGTTTTCCATTTCTAGGGATTGACAGAGGTTTTTACTGAGAGCCCTCTTTCCAGTCCTATTTAGGTGCTGGCCATGTTGTGTAAAATGTGCCCTCACAAGATTCTTGTGACAGCAGACTATATCAGAGATATTCAGGGATTTTAGGGCTTCATTCAATTGGTTGGCCCTTGCATTGAGGTGGTGAGTATCATATCTAGGGAGGATATTAGATACGATGCAATGGCAGTTAGTGTTGATAGCTTTGATTCTACTGATGAGGAGGTCAATGTGGGATAAGACAATGCTAGGTGGAGAGATGGGGAGATCATTTGAGCCACAGATGAGTATGATTGCATTGGCTTTACTGATGGATTGTTGCAATGAAGAAATGCGATCTAAGAGAGCTTTGGCAGTGATGCCAGGGTATACTAGACTTTGGAAACGGAAAGTGGGAAATTCTGCTGGTGGTCCTGACGGTTGGTCCTCCTTAGAATTATTGCATGGAGGAAGAGTTGACATGATTTGGCATAGGTCTCGAGCATGGGAGTCACCTATTATTAGAATTTCCATTACTCTGGGAATCCTATGCAGTTTACTCCTGGGGGCAGATAGGTGAGAAGGAGGGGAGACCTGGGTGTTGTTGACCATTTCTGACGAGTCCAAAATTACAGAATTTGGGTCATGGTCAAGATTGATGCACTGCAGGTTCCCATAGCGATTTTTCACAAGGAGAGGTTCTGGTGATCCGTGTGATATGGTTAGGGGTTTACAGGTTTTTCTCTTTTGAGGCTGCTGAAAGGGCTCCTGAGAAGCTGTGGACAAGGATTTTATTGACCTGGGATATGGTTGGGGCTTAAATGCTGGAGGGTGATTGTTGTAGCTGCTTGGCGGGGGTATATCATGTTGCTCTTTGAATTTGAATTTGCTGAGGCAGGCGCTCAGGTATTCTACTTTTTTTGATAGGCTCACATTTTTCCTTTCAGCATCAGAGAGAATGCCTAGGAGGTTGTTGATGATGGTGAGGGGGGAACCTAGAGGAGTATATAGTTTATCATTAAGTTGGGTTTTTAGAATTTCTTTTGAGCAGGTAGCACAGGACCAATTTTTCCTACAGTTATCACTGAAGTGATTGATAATTCCCGTGCCAAAGGCACATTTGAGGTGGTACAGATAGCTACAGTCTCCACAAATTATTCCATAAATTTCAACCTCTACTTGGAGGTTGCAGAGGGGGCACGTAGCACATATTACATGTGCTTCAACTGATGAGGTAGATCTAGGCTCAGCAGATATTGCCGGATTGGCTGGGAGTCTTTTAAAGGAAGTGATGGGGGATAGGTGACTGGTGTCATGGACATAGTGATTCATGGGAGAACTGCCTGGAGTGGGCTCTAGTGAGGACTTACTCCTGGAATGGTGCTTGTCAGGGGAAGTGGTGAAGGTCTTGTCAGTCTTAGAAGAGTTCACTAACACAATGTCTGAAGTCATAGGGACAGATGGCGATGTGTCAGTCATGGTAGGGTTTGACCCCACAGAGTCTGACAGAGTAGAGTTGGACAGCATAAGATTAGACAGGACAGAGTTGGACATGGAAGAGTCAGAAAGGACTGAGCTGGACAACACAGATTCTGAGAGGACTGAGCTGAACAACCCAGACTCAGTCCGTAGATTGGACAACTCAGGGTCAGGCTGGTCAGTCATGGGCAAGTCTGGGTATGGCAGCACAGAGTCTGGTGACACAGGTTCACATAGGTTGCCCAGCGTAGAGGCTGGCAGTGACACAGAATCATATGTGACAGTGTTGGGCAGTGTGGTGATGGGCTGCACTGAGGTAGGCTGCAGAGGGTGGGACAGCCTAGAGTCAGTTAGGGCAGGGTAGGCCAGCTCAGAGTCAGGTGACTCAGTGTCACAAGGGATAAGACCATCTTGATCTAGAAGCTCCTGGACACTTTTTCCAGTAGTGAGATCAAGTGGGTTGTCACAAAGGCCTGGCTACTGTGACCTTGAATCAGGAGGGTTCCAGTTGTGTAATATAAATGTAGGGTTAAGCACTTGGCTTCAGTAGGATCTGATGTAAACACTACTACAGTAGTCTGGTAGAGATTGCCAACAGAGATTTCTCTTGTCACATCACAAGCTTCGTCAATATCTACTGGGGTTCTTGCTTTGTTTCTGTCGCACCAGATTACAGAGAATGCGTCGTCGAGTCCCAGATCATTATAGAACCTCCACAAGACTGCTTTCCTCACTAAAGGGTTTTGAATCGTTTTAAATTTGACAGTGAACTGGAGGGGGTCTCTTTTTCGGGAGACCGTAACGCAAGAGAACTTGCTGAAGTTTTCGAGAGAGACGTTTTGAGTAGGCGCTATCCCGGCGGCCATCTTCACAGTTCTGGACTCTTCAAGAGTCAAGAGAGTGATACCAAGAGGCGATTTAGCCCATTTCGATATCACGTGTCAAGGTCGAGCGTTCCTTAATTTTAGGGTAGGCCTAACCCTTAAAGGTAAATATTTTTGTATTTTTGCTTTGGTTTTTTTTTTTTGACTATCCTAGTTGCTTACTGTCTATTACCTAATGTCAACATTGCCCCCCACCTTTTTGCCTGTCCATGAAAACATCTAGTTTCTTCTTAAAGATTTTCACAGAAGGGGCAGCCACTACTTCGTCATCTAACGCATTCCACACGTTCACCACTCTGCAAGTAAAGAATTCCTGTCTCGACCTGAGCTGCACCTGCGGTTTGCACAACTTAAGTCGGTTACCTCTCATTCTCTTGCTGTCATCAAACACTAGCGCTCTGCTCCAGGAAGCGTTGACATTAGTTCGAGGGCCAACCACCAGGGCATAGACCGCCATTGCGGTTACCCTGCTTTCGCGCAGAGTGCCCTGTCTTCTTAGTATAAGGTCTTTGGTCCTGCCAACCAACTACTGATCCACTCACTCGTCCTACCCTGGATCCCGTCCGCCTCCAGTTTAATCCGCAACCTCTTGTGAGGAACAGTATCGAAAGCTTTCGCGAAATCTAAATAGACGATGTCCACAGGATTCCCTTTATCCCTCTCTTCCGTCACCCAGTCGTAGAACGTCGTAGAAAGTCATAGTTGTAGTGGACTCTTCTTCCACAGGGCCCTTTTTATGTAACAAATGTGTTGAACTTCCTAACTGTTCCTACATTTAGTCAATGTGAATGGGAAGAGTAGTGGGACTGCAGGTGGGTATTGAACTCACATCAATAGGTATTGACTTCTGAATTGTAAGCCATTAGATTGCAAGGTCTTGCTTTCAATGGAGGGGGAAATAGGGTGATGAAGAAAATAGTAACCTGTTTTACTAACCTGTATATAACTGAACCCAGGGCAGCCTTGGGTATAGGTGCTATCTGATTTCTTATCTCCCATTCCCATGGAAAAAGGGCAGATATTGTTATCTGCTGTTCCCATAGTTGCTCTTAAAAAATTGCTGATGGTCTGTCACTTTTTTTTCATTCCATCTGTCCACAGTATCCAAAGCAACCATACAACTTTACTCAGTGCACTTGTGCAGCTCTCCATCAGGGTCAGGTTGCCAGTCTGCAACTTCCACTTCCCTTCCAGCCCCTGCAGATGATTGATCCATAGTAGTCAATAGGAAAGAGTGGCTACTTGTGGCTGCATAGACAGGGTTGCTGGACATCACATGTGAAATCCTGCATCTGGCATCCTGCACTTCATGCTCTCTTCCTGTCCACACACAACCCAGGGATATGAACCTTCAAGAACATTATCTAGTTGTCCAGGACTTTTTATGTAGGCTTTTGCCATGCCAATGATATCTATTATTCATTTTAATGTTGGATGGTTAGGATGTGGTGAAGAAGATGAAATCAGGGGTCTCAGGAATGGCAGATCTATACCTGGGTTGGTACTCTAGTTCTATTTTCATCAGTTAACTATCTCAAATTTTTGAGAATGAACATGGGGGTGTGGGGTTTAGCAGAAGTATCCTTTACCTTTTTTAAATACCAAAATGAAAAGGTTCCCTGTCATGAATACTTGCAGGAATGTAAAACATGTAACGTCCAAGAGGAGATCTACTTATGAGAGAAACAAAGATACCTTGGTAGGCATCCCTCCTGTATTTTTTTTATTTATAGCAGTAGGCTGCCATTTTAGAGGTCTGAGCCTTACCTGTCATTGTGAGAGGAAAGAAATTGGTGGGGCTAGAGGATGAGGTGGAAATGTGTAAAACTGGAGTTAGGGGAAAAGTGGATGGAAAGATGGTCACTTCAATCAACAAGATGATACTTGAGTAGAAAAGGAGAATTCATTAGATGCGAGGGAGAAAAGTTTCCTTAGGCAAGAGCACCATTTTTTTTTTTTATATGAGAGCACGATATATTTACTGTAAGTCTTATAGAGATAGAAGGTAAGTGATACAAAACCAGTTGTGGAACCACTGAAGTGGCTTAACATTTAGATTTTAGGTTTTAGAAATTCAGCCAGGTTGGGAGTAGAAAAATATTAACTATCTTTGTTAAATTGTTAGATTTAACCCTGTCCTGTCCTGTTCAACCAGACCTGTCAATAATATTGTCATCTGTAGCTACATGTTGTCCAAGGTAAGAAGGATGAGTAGTATTGAGGCATCCTGTTGCCTCATCTGCAGTTAGTGATGTTTGCACCCCATACTTGAGTGAGAAGGTCATTTGTATAAGTTTTGGAAGCAATAATCTCAATGTAGTTCTTAGAGGTTAGTCATGATATTTCATGCAGCACCTTTGGGAGATATCCTTGACATAAAGGTCCTCTACCTCAGGACCCAGCATGTTTATATGAAACAAGAAGGTATTATACAAGATGTAAGCCTTTCCTCCAGTTGAATGGGAGTAGGAGGGTGGTTGTGAAACAGAGCCTCATACTTTATTGGCCTTTAGTGTCTTCACATGCTGCTCCCAGAGTATGTGTGAAGGGTTGTCATCTCACTCTCCCTTTTGTGGCTGCTGGACAGAGTTCTTAAATGTCAACCCCCTCCCCTGCTGGTGTTTTGCACATTTAACATGCTAAATGTGCAAAAGTTTAGTTCTTGATGAACTAGACCTCATGTTAGACATGTAGGCCCATGCTCACAATGTGAGCCTTTTCCTCATGCTGGAGAAGATGAGATGGGACTCCAAAAGATTAAATGTAGAGATAAGGACCCTCACCCTCAAACTATTAGGAGTACTTAGAATACTTTGAAATTGTTGATGGGGAACCTCACTCACAGGCCATAGGCCTTCATAAATATTGATCAGGGTTTTCTTTTGGCAGGCTTCACATATGGGCACATGCATATAAAAGTGTACCATGACTAGAGAGAGAGAGAGAGAGAGAGAAGATACAGAGTTCAGACTGCAACTGCCACTGTTCTAAAATTCTCAGAAGCGGGATATTCAAGTGTTAAATGCAGGAAAGTAGGGCTTCATTGAGCAATGAAGCAGAGACAAAGGGAAGAGACCATAGTGTAAATGTGGCATTTAGGAGATGATTATAGGTGCAACATGTGAGGGAGTTAGTGGAATCAAGACTGGCACACAAACAGCCATGAATGAAAGTGGGCAAGGCTTGTTATATGTAGTATATATGTGTACTGTGTACTATAGTACTATATGAGCAGAGTTGGGTGCATTACTTGTGAAAAGTAACTAGTTACAATTATAAGTATTCCATCCAAAAAGTTGTTAATTACCAATAGAATTTCTTCTCGCCAAAAGTAAATAGTTACAAGTAGAAGTTACTTTTCCTAAACAAAAAAATCTTATATTTCTTCAGCTTCTCCACTTCTTTGACAGAAGCTGGATGCATACACTGAAAGTGAAAGTTACACCTGATTTAATGAAAAATGAATAACGATCATAATTCAATTTTCATTTCCAGTTTCCATTTCATGACCAGTTCAGCTGAACTGGATAAATACTCATGCTCACTCTTTTTCCTGTGCCTCTACCCTTCCCATGGGCTACTTAACAGGAATTATATGCTGGTGCTATAGTCAGAATGCACCATTCAGTTTAAAAAATGACAATTTTGCCATTGGTGATGGGAAGACCTACCCCACCCTGCCCCTCATCATGAGTTCCTGATAGAAAAATAGAAGAAAAAAAAAACTCATGTGCTCTTGTTTCCCCTTAACCAGACATAGACTGCACAAATCCACCCCATACAGTGATTGAAAATGAATTTTCACTAACTTTTTACAATGTACAAGGTATTTTTATGGCACAATCAAGGAGATGAGGGTGTTTCAACCATGAAATATGGGGAACTGGATCTGAGACATGCATGTTAAAAGTAGTACAAATTCACTTGCAAATCACTGTATGTTAAGTTAGGTTCTACACTTGGAAAAGAGAGTTTTAGGCCTAAGTATCAATGGAGTCTAACTAATGATGGATTGTTGGGAGGGTGATGAAATAAGACACTTGAAATATGTGGAGGTAGCTAGGGTATGCCATGCCCGCTGAGCCAAAAGGGGATCAACAAAACTAAGGAGAGAGGTGCCACTGTTAGGCATACAAAAGGTATCAGAACCAAAGCAATGCCTATCATTCAGACATAACGTGAGACCAAAGGTTGTCTGTATGGAGTCAGGCCATGCTGGAGCTCATCTAGACATGCTTTCTCAAGTTTGATGCTGAAGTTCATGTGACAAAAGTACCTTGGTCATCAGTTAACAGAGAACACTTCACACATAAGTTTGCATCGATGCAGTGGCATATTTTGGCTGAAGGGTCTGGGGGGCAGGGTGACAGAGCCAAACCCCACCAGAGCGATATGAGAAGAGAAAAGTATCACCTCTGAGGGGGGCAGCTGCCCCCCCTCCCTGTAAAATGCACCACTGCATTGATGGAACTCTCGAATTTGTTCCTAACCTCCTGCACCTTGAAATATTTTTGCAGATACAGCCAAGAAATCTGCACTGAATAAACCATGGTTTCTCAGGGCAATTTCATGCCCCTGCCTTTCCTCCTAATTTGCATAAATTAAGATGCATGTAGTCATGAAGTGCTGGTTGTTTTCAGTATTTTTAGTTAATCATCAAGAAGAGGAACGTGTTACAGTAACACCACATACTTTTCCCATGAAAAAGGAACCAGTTATCAGTTCTGTTACCCTCCCCTGAAAAGTAACTCATTACCAAAAAAGTTACTGAAAAAGTAATTCATTACTGTAATGCATTACTTTTACTTTGTTACTGCCCAACACCATATATGAGTAGTGAAAAAATCATCTTGGGAGGGTGGTGCATAAGATGTACTATTTCCAACAATGTTGGCCTGCCACACTTTTGCATGAGAGGTTGACATGAAAATTGGAAGTACTGGAATTGATGTGATGAATGATGCCCCCTTGGCCCACACCCTCTGCCTTGCTCATAAACCTCCATTGCTCCTCAATAGCATTCTCTTATCAGAATGTTATGGTTTTATTTGCTGTGAGAAATCTTTCAGGAGCATTGTCCTGACATAATGGATCTCTGCTTTTTTTTAATTTCCAATTTCCTAAAACTGCAAATAACAAGATGATTACCATTATGTAAATAATTTTTTAATGAATGTTTTCATTGTAATTAATTCTTAGGACTTGAATGTGTGGAAATAGATATTGATATTGGTTTTCTTCTTCACTATTGGAGTATTATTATGCAGGATGTCCATAAAGTGACTACCTATGGGGGACTTTTATTATCAACCTCAGCTAAAGTACCTATTTTTTTAACCTAAAGTAGCTATTTTTTTTTTCAACTTTTGTAGACTGACAACATACCAACCTTGGAATAGTGTCAGATCTTTCCTCCTTCCACTTTGGTATAACCAAAAATTAATTTCTCACATCTGGTGTTTTATGATTTTTTCTATTCATTTGAATGAAAAAGAAATTCAGACAATGATTCAAGAAAAATTTTTGCTGTTAGACCTTATTGCAATAACTTCTTGCAGTTATCCTGGTATTGATTGAATAATACAGCATTTTGGGATTTGAAAATCAAAAACTAGGAATTTACTCAACAAATAGGCTCAATGTGTTGACAATTGATTTGACGTTTCTAAGCCTTGGCGATTGCATTATTGGCAACATCCATGAGAATCCCATCACTTTTCTGGCACATGGCATGAGAGATATTCTCTTTCAAGTAGTTCAGATTTGTGGGCTTGTCCTTGTAAACAATACCTTTTAAGTATCCCCAGATGAAAAAAATCACAAGAGGTCAAAATCCAGAGATTGTGGTGGCCATTTTCCCTGGCTGACAATTTGGAATGCTACACTCCATACACCTGAACCTTTAATTAAAACAAGAGTTTGGTAAATAAATTCTCAGTCACACTAGAGTGCAGGAACAAAAGGTGCAACACCATTCCACAGTCTAATGATAAATAGCCTATAAAAATTAAAAATTTGATTCCCCCAGTAGTCACTTTATGGACACCTGACATCAGATATCAGCCATATTTCAATATTACAGGTTCTCCATACTTCTATTGAGAACCTTTGCTTATGTTGGCTTTGTCTTTCTCACATTTTTTTTTTAACTTTTATTTCTTCTTCAGGACTGGGGTTCAAGGGAAACGATGATCTCTGGCTGACTCATCATAATGATTACAATGAGTTTTTGGCAACATTGCAGTCAGAAAAGGGATCCAAGCAAGATGGTAGCATCAATGAAACCCAGGGCTTCATTCCACTTACTGAGAAGAGCAAATCTTCAAAGAAACGAGTCCAGTAAGAGAATACATGTCCCCATATTTTGACCCAAAGCACAGCTTATCTGACATTTTTATTATTGCTTTCAGTTATCACAAGTTTGCCAGAGGGAAGGACTTATCATCATGCTCACAAGAGGATTTGGCATGCATTTTTGGGAAGAAAACAATAGTGAAAGAAGAAGCACCTGGAGATGCAAATGAGAATTCTATGGGGCAAATTGAGCATGCCCATGGAGTTACCACAATCATGGGTGGATCCTTGCCAAAATACTTTGCTTCCCGCTTGGGGGCCAAAAAGGTCATGAGCAATCCAATTCAAGATAATGTGGATCTGGAGCCAGCTACTGACGTTTTTTCACCTTCAAGTGATAATGCTGCTCCTGGAAGGGCTTCTGGAAAGATGAGGCATAGACCTCATTTAATAGAAAATTGCTGTGAAGAAGAGGCTCCTAAGAAAATTTTTTTGGATGAGAAGCCCTATCAAGTCCAAGAAGATGAATGTGGTGAGGAAAAATATGAGAAACCCAGGGGTCAGAGTCCACATCATGAAGAGCTTACTGCTCAGCCTTACAAGAAGAAACAAAAGAAGATCCAAGTGCAGGGTGAAGATGGCTTGACAGAAACACCTCAGACTGCTTCTGGCAGTGAAATGACACATGTGGTCTCTAATCAATTTGTAAAGGATAATCATTCCTCTTTAGGGGTGCACATTAATAAGGAATCAGTATCTGAAGTCCATCTTGATAAAATGAAGAAGAAAAGGAAATTGAAAAGTGAACATCAAACTGTATCTCACAGTGATGAGGATACAATTCAAGGGATTATGTGCTATTCAGCCAAAACAAAGAAGAGAAAGAACGTAGGTGAAACTGATGATGAGGCATGTAGGGATTCAGAGGAGCTTCTTATGCCAGGAAAGAATGGTGTGTCTGTATCGCCAGATAATGAAGACAAAGGATCAGAATCTAAGGAGAAAATGAAGAATGTCAAGGCAGTTCATATAAGTAATTGTGAAAGAAAGCCAAGTGTGGCTGATGGGACTGACACCAAAGAATCACTAGGCTATTTTGGTATTGAAAAAAAAGAGTCAAAGCAGTTGCCTGAGAAAGATGTGAAAGTGTTCCAGGAGATACCACTCTTTCCTTCACAAAGAGAAAGATGGAAATGGTTAAAATCAGAAATTCTGGCTCATGGAGCTGAAAAAGTGGCAGAGAAATTCCCAGGTGCTAATCTCCATGCTGTTATTGGGTACCGAAATATTAACCAGGGTAGTCAAATTCATGTGATTGAAAAGGCTGCATCTGTCCATGACAATATTTCTGATGAAAAACTTCTAGGTGAGCACTCACCATCCTTAAAAAGAAAAAAGAAAATTAAATCTGAAGTGGACATATATACTGGTGTTGCAGAAACATTGCTAACTGGAGACATCAAGAGTGGAAAGAGAAAACAAAAGAAAACAGACCCAGATTCAGCCTGTCATGAAGAAGATGCTAATCCTCTCCCTCTTGATAGCCTGCAGGGTCAATGTTCTTGACTTGTTTTGTGGAATAAAACATATATTGCTGTTGCAGTTGATATCTATTGTATTGGCTTATCTTGAAGTGACATAGAACCCCATGACTCATCAGAGTTTGGATCTGCATCCAAATTTTAAAAAATACATCAAAGTTATTCATCGGTCAAATGAAGAGCCAAGCACAACCACAAGGTGGAAAGCAATAGAAAAAAGATGGGAGTTTTATCAATTCATAGGTAGGAGTCAGCCTTCAAGAAAACACCCTCGAAGTCTATTTTGGCCCATGTACATACAGATGTACAGGATATGACAAAAGAATAAGTTGGATATACATATGCATCATGAGAGTTTCACAAAAATAGCTCCTGCATGAGCAAAGATCTTTAGGTTTAAAGTAATTGGTCTTTTTATTGTCCTACCCTGTAAATTCCCTTCCCCTCTTGGCTGTTCTCTATTGTCAATTTATTGATGCTATCTCCATCAAATGACAACATTAAAAGTTAGGTTGGGACTAAGACATTGCATTTCCATGGGTAGTGCCATACAAGGAGTCTCTGGAGCTTCATGAAGGAATGTTTGACTAACAAGATGGTTCAAATGTTACTACTTATTCTTTGGAAAATGATCTTGGGTTGTTCCCCTTGCATTGTATTTTTTTATATGAGAGCCATTGCCAATCCACATTTCCAGACCCCATGCACATCAGCCCTTGTATCAGGGAAGTCTGCATTCAATTCCTTGGCCACTCTAGTTCTTAGGTTTCAAAATCATTGAAGACATATTGGGCTAAGGTGGTTGAAGTAGCCTATTTCCAAGGTGTTACACATCAGAACTCATAGCTGGAAAAAACACTACTGAAAAAGCTTGATTGCTGATTGAACGGTCTGATAAACTTTTTTTCTGTTGTTTCTGTTCTACATTGATTTCAGGGGATGGAGGAAGCTTTTCCTCTATATTTTAAGCAAGGAATTACAATACTTTTAAACTTTTCTTTTTTTTTACTGACAGGAGTTCTATTCTAAAGAGCTTGTGCTGGATGCGAAGAGTCTGGAATCCATTGGAAGTAATAACCATAAATTCAATCATGGCATAGGTAAAGGATTCAGATATGTACCAGGGATCATAGGTTCATGGTGTGTGCAAATTGCCTGCCTGCTGTGCATTCAGTGCAGATCTTGGTCTTGAAAAAAAAATTATACGGGGATAGCCAAGGAAAGATGGTTCGTGTAAAACACTTCATTTAATTTTTAATATTGCATAGGCTTCCTAGAATCCTTGGCCTTTCAAGTACTTTTTGTCAAAAGGTACTGTGCCTATAGGAAATTATGTTCTTGCCACATTTATCCTGTGAATATTAAATATGGGTGAGTTGGTCACTGGGAGAGACCCAGACACCTCAACTCATAAAAAATGAAGGAACCTGAGGCAAAGAATGTGCAACTAAATCCAATTCTGCAGCAACAAATGCTGCCACACTTGCATGGATTTTATTTTATTTTTTATTGTTCCATTTCAGAGTTCTAAAAAAAATTATTAGAAAGGTCTTTCAAAATGCTGCTGCAGTCAGAAGACAATGTATGGAAAGACTTCTCTTAATACAGAGAAGAATACCTCTGCCCTTGATTCTTTGTTGGTTAGAGAAGGAATCAAGGAAGGCAAGGCCAATACCATATTGGACTCTCCTTTCACCAAAGTGTGGTTTCATTTTATCTCATCCTTGAACAATTGCTATTACATTCATCTTACCTGCCACTACCATACCTTCCACTACCAAGCTAGATAACATGAGAGGGTGGTATCTACACATTTTCATATTGTGCAATTTGATTTATGACATGACAGCAGCATGGCTGTGCATGACAGTGGGTCAGATGAAGTTCTCTTTGCCTCCTTCAGAATTCTTTGTTTCCTAATCCTTCAACAGACTCAAATTTTAGCCAAATCATTTCTGGTTTGGCTAAAATTCAATTAATTGGATAGCACATGTATGATAAAATTATAAGTAGTGATCCATTGGCAATCCTGATGTAATGTCTATTTTTGGCATGAATAGAACCATAATTAAACTCAACCTGTAGATCGGCAGCCTGCCAGTTTTTGCAGTGATCATTGATATTTAAAAAACTATAAAACAATATAAGTGGGAGTATGAACAGACAAAATTTGATTAGGCAAAATGACTTCAAAGTGTAACCCTTTCACACACCCAGTATGTGATTGTGGAACCCAACCAAAAGCAATGCTTAGCCCAATGTCCCAAATATTGAAACCCTGCTGCTGTTTTTCCTTTGGCTTGGCCACTGTTACCTGTATTCAACTTGAGAACAGCACTGCAGGAAAACTGAAGTATACGGTTCACTGTAACAGTGTAAATGCAAAAATAAAAAGTCCAAGTAGCTTGGAGAGGTCATTCTGGGTTGTTGCAGATTTACTACCAAGGAATATATTAGTTCATTATTTTGTGTTATCACCCTTAAATTCATTAATAAAGCACTTTTTTTCCAAGTTGGCCCTCCAAGATTTTGTCTATACAATGACTACCACTCCAAATATTTGTCCAACTAGAGAAACTTATATTGAAATTAAATATGGATTTGCATATGGAGTGAAAATGTGTATTGTATCAGGCAAAATAGCTAAGAAGAATGCTCTGTAAAGAATCTGTTGGAGATAACTCTGGCCAGAATATAAATTTTTATTTCAAGGCAATCTTTTGAGATTTCATGGATGGTTTGGGGCTGAGTGATGACTCAGATGCTTATACATGGGCACTTCCATGAGTGTCAAAGTCAAGTGAAATTATCAGCAACTCAAGTGAAAACACCACAGTTAAGATTTTCCACAAAGGAAGCAACTTACTTGCCAGTAAGAGGAATAGCAGCAGCAGCCGTTGTAGGCCTACTAATTACCCCTTAGTCATGTCCAAGATGACTTCTGCTACCTCTGACTTAATAATGAGAGCCATATTAGACCCTAAATCAGTGTTCATGTTTGAGACTACCTCAATCCTAACTTCCTCCAATAAAAGAGACTTCACCACAAAATAAAACCTCCTCATGGGGCAATACCTCTAGGTACTCTATTCCTCCTGATCTCTTCAGGTAGTCATGCTCTTGTCACTTAAAAATAATCATTTTTCTCAACGGAAATAAAAGACAGAGTCATAATTCATGATTGCTATTATTCACATAGGCTCTGAATGACAATATCAAAATACAACAGGGACAGGACACAGGGTTCAGGAGAAAGTCCTCAGGTAGATTTCAGGATTCTAGGCCTAGGAAATAGCCAAAGCAGTCACACACAGCATCTGCTTGCAGAAACAAAGTATGGCAACCTATGAAACAGTTCTCTGATTCAACTTCAATATGCTTCTTTGAAATGGGGAGAAAAGCCAACAAAATGGGTGGTATATACAAGGTTGATGTTCCCTGTTTTAAAGCCCACTGAGATCTGGACAATGCCATGTCTTCCGTCCTCAATACACACTATGTACAAGTGGATGGTACTGATAGGTAGACATTCTTCATCTCCCACATTATTATTCAAAGTTTATTAGTTTATGCTTACTCCATCATCACAGCAAGAGATTTGCGTAGAGACTAGCATTGCATACTGAAACATCACGGAGCAGTCACTCAGCACACATTCTCATGACAAAACAATCAGTTCTGCTTTCCTGGACTTGAACAAGCACAGGGTTGACTGCAGAAAGTCAGGGAAAATGGATACCATATCAAAACGGGAGATGTGAATTAGATGTGTGTGTGTGTGTTTGTATTTCGTAATTGATAGTGAGCCAGGTCCAGCCCAGTTCATTCACAATGTGGAGGCGCCAAACATCTCCTGAGATGCGTAGACCATGTAGAGGAAACCATCTTCGTCCCTTTCGCGGATGTACACTTCTCCAAGTGTGGCACTAATGTTGGCCATGCTTCGTTGATTAATCAAAAGAAAGAATGCCTGACTTGGATGCAACTGCATTCGCCTCCTGGAACATATACAAGTACATGATATGGTGTTAACAAGAGCTAGTTGGGAAAATGTAGCCATTCCTTCAATTTCTTTTGGTTGTCATACCTCAAGATCCTAATGAGCTCTCCCACAGTCACATGATCAGGGACGAGAAACTTGGATTTGTCAAGCATAGGCAACTGCCTCTCTCCATGGAACCTCTCAACAATGATGGGTACTTTATCAGGGTGCTTCTCTCTAATAGATTCCAAGTCTCGAACTCGCTGAGCTAAAACAACAGATCACAAATGAGGACTTGCTTCTATTGAACCTTTCATGAAATTAAGATCTGTGCAGCATACATAATCATATTGAAAAATAAATTTTATGACTACTCTTAACCTTCTGTTAGTCCTGCCACTTATCAGTGACTTATCAGGGGCTCATTCCACCCCAGAAGACCAATGGAGGATTTAGTAACATTATGAGATATATATTTAAAACTCTGATGGTTATAGCACAACTCCATCATAAGCTCCAGCATGAGCACTGCTATCAAAGCTAAGTTTTTTTTTTTACTTATGTGAAATATCAGCTTCATATCTACTGTGGTTAACTTCTTTTATGGGCTTGTAAAATACAGTTATCAACCGATTAAATGTATCTAATTTTCCAAAAAATGGCCTAAGCATCTGTCTCTCTAAAAATTGCCACATCAACCTGGAAACAATGCTGGCTGAGAGACATTTCACAGATTTCTTCACACTATTTATGAATGCTGCCAGCATTATCACCTCTTTGGAAAAGAACTTAATGACAGCCCTTTGTTCCTCTGGTGAAAATTAACCATATTTAATAAGTTCAAGGAACAAATGTACTATGTAATTTGCACTTAACAAATCTGAATAACATTAATGACATTAGATGCAAAAATGAAATTTCACAAGTGTAGAAATACATAGCCATGAAAGTACTCATTACAATGCTGGTCCAGGAAAGATGAAGGAGCTATGCTGAAGCAATCACTACTTCTTGAATGCACCTTGTAGTTGAGATACTTAGAAAAGGATGAAAGTATAGATGCATCTTCAACATTATATCTATATAAAGTATAGTCAACCCTCAATATAACACCACTGTTGGTCATCACCGATTTTGGCATTATAACGATTTATCTATATTGTGTAATATATAGGCCTATGGGAATATATTTCCACAAAAAAAGGTTGACTATAAGTGAGGGTGGCAGAATGAAAGTTGACCGTCTATGGGTGAAGAATTAAGAACAAGACACAAATAGGCTACCAAAAAAATAACTTTGTCAAGATATGTAGTGTTCCACAATAGGCATGGATTATCAATTTAAAGTTGCTAATAATAGCAAAGATTTGTTAACTCTTGACTGTAAATTGATTATTTCTATTGTAAAAATTCATAGTTGAAAATGCATTCAATCTTGATTTGGTCCTTGATTGCACTTTTCTTGTAATAAAATGTCAAGATAAGATCTAAAAAGGGTTTAAGAAAAAAGAAACGCCAAATACACACAGGAAAAGTGTAAATTACAATCAAGGTATATTAAGTATACTTCAGTCTTCAATATATTTTTTTTATTACCTACATTTGAGCAAGAATGTGCCCTGGTTTATGTCCCTGTCTTTATGTCTCTATATGCTTTTTTGGCACCAGTCTAAGCACTCCAGCAAGTATTGGTAAATTCCCACTTCCCTGGGAAGTGGGAGTTTACTTGCCAACAGGGCTCCTGCCCTGTTGGCTACAGCTACAGCCAGCCAAACTGGGCCCATGGTAGGTGAGTAAAAGGCACGAATGGCCCTCACAACCTTTTCAAGTTGTGCACCCCTGACCTAAGGCATAAGTGAAATATGCGATGTGATACGATGAAGAGACAGAATACAAAATGTCTCATATCAATTCATTTATATGGGAATGATTACAACCAGTGGCATAGCCAGGGTTTCGCTGATAGGGGGCTTACTTATCCTCGCCCAGTGGAGGGGGGGGGGGGGGGGCAGATGCATTTAGACCGGAGTTGGGGGGGCTTCAGCCACCCCCTTGCTATGCCACTGATTACAACCATTTGATAAACTTTTCTCCTTGTTGAAATAATAACACAGAAGAAAGCTTATCTTCTTATGCCATACATGGCATGATGTTTTTTTTTAGAGGTTCTCATGTCCTCATTAACCCAAGTGTCCAGAATTCTGAACATTTGGATTTTTATATATTTATTAATATATATTCATTGGGAGCAGAAAATCCAGTTTTCAACTATTACAGACATACAAAGGAAAGCAGCCAGACCACTAGCAATGAATTTCATGAGACCTTTCAAAGTGATGCAATCAATATATAAAAGAAACTCTTCCACATGGGAAAATGCTTGGGACTAAAGAGGACATACCTTTACCTTTGGACCTTCCACAATTCAAGTGCTCTGACACCATACAATATAAAATGCCATTTGTACTTTTGCCACCAAACACTTCATTTGTAAGTATGCCCATACTGAAACATACATACATTACATATACATTGAAATACTGAAAATTAAAAAATGGGAATACAATTGCAACAACGAATTATTGTTTTAGTAATGAAATGAGTCAGTAAAAATGTATAGAAGAGTGCTAGAGTTGCAACTTTCCAATGCAGCCACCCATGACATATGCAGGGTTTTAAAAAGGGAGGCCCAGTATTAAGGCAATTGAATGATGGGGGATAGCACTCCTCTGTGCATATGCCACTTAAGTCATACTCAGTTGTTCCAATCAAATCCAAAGTAACAGTTTCAAGTGCTCTTTACTTTAACCTTTCTCCAGTCTTACACAAGGGTACCAGACATTAGTGTCAGATGAATAATAATAACTGAAACCTCAGAATCGGGACATTGCATGAACTTCATGTTTAGTACAAACATGGCTGTAAGGTACAGCAAAATATTATGTTTCAATGACATACAAAACATGGTGTTGATTTCAGGTGAAATATGAGGGAATGCATGAGAATCCTATTTACTTGGTTCACAACAAAAAACTCTTCTATATCATTTGAAAAATTTGTGCAAACTTGGCAGTGTTGCATTCTCTGCTCTATCCACTTTAAGAAAATGGAAAACATTTTTAGAGGTATGCATTCAAGAACAATATCAGGTAATTTTTCTGTCCATGTGCATGCCTCTCAAAAGTTGCCCATGAGATTCAAACTGGAGAGTGGTTAATGACTCCAAGTGAAATTTGAACTCACTCTGAATGAAACACCAGTGTGTCATGAACAAACAGAAAAACTATAAACCCAGGTCATTGTTTTAACTTATTTCTGCTACATTAACATCACTCTAAATGTAAAATCAAGAGGAACCTCTAAGACTCTTGCATGCAAGAATAGAGATGACATGAATGCATTAACTACCAATACCATATCAACAGATACTTTACAAAACAATATGCCATAAGCAGTTAGAAATGGAGCTAAATTTACTTAGCATTGGATATCACATAACTGCACTTGTCATGATCAACGAATAAGAAAAAATGCAGTTAAAATATGAATAACAAGAGCACAGTAAAAGGCAAATTCCTTACATTATTAAGCTAGTGTTTGCATTAAATATTGAATTTAAAAAAAAAATGCATACAAGTAAGAATGCTGAATATTCCCTGCATAACAGTATTCAAATTTTCCATGGATTTTTCCAACTACAATGTTACATCACTTTCATGCATAACCCTGAGCTAAGCAGCCTAGGCTATACAATGTGAACTTAGGTCTCTTTGGATAATACTAGCCCGATTAATAGTGCAAAATCAGCAAGTAACCACCTATTATTTAATATAGGCTACTTACACTCGAATTTGATATCATTATTCTAAACTAAATTGGCAAACATTGATACTTTACAAAATAATCTGTGGAACGTAAGTCAACCAAAATAATATGGGTGACTGCAACGCTAATTCACCTGTTACGGCTTATATAACCATCAGCACCAACCAACTGTCCGTCAAACAGGCCTGTCATGTTATGGAATCGCCTTCAGCTATGCCCATGTCTAAAATATTTAAAGTTCGTGCCTCCTCATAATGCACACAACTCAAATCGTGTGCAGCCTAGACCTAGAGGGAGATGACTGGATGAAGTAAAAGGCCAAGTGACAAAGAAAAGGGCAAGCGAATTGAAGGGGCACTCCTCACCAAAAGATCGTCTTTCCTTGAAAGTCCTCTCGCAGTTATTCATCGCCAGTGGACGGCACTTGTCTGTTCGTAAAATTGCTTCATAAGACTCACGCAAAATAAATTTATGGTTAGAGTTGCGTTTCTGAGCCCAACGAAGGAGCTCCTGGCTCTCAGCTGATCTTTGTTTACCACGGCGCTTTCCTCACCTAACCTCACTCCCCATTTTGATCCTGCGTTGCCGCTCTCCTCTTTGCTGTGTTCATGCTCACTTCTGCCATCGATCGACTAACCTCGTTTTCACTCCGATCAAAGCCATAAACAAACCTTCGAACATGAGAGGAACTCACAATATTTTCAATCTCATTCTTGGGTCATCTTCACCCTTCTGTGAGGAACAGTTCGAACGCACCGAAGGAGCCAAGGAAATGCTGTACGAGTTTCCTGTTCTGCTGATGCTGACTACGCATTCATCTCTTCAGACAACTTTGAAAGCGAAGCACTGTGCCTTGGGTGATGGTCAGAGGTGACACGGTTGGTAAGGAGCAGCCCAGTTTGAAATCCCAACTGCAGGGACGCAACCAACACCCCCAAACCCCTGCTCATGATGCTCTCTACTTCTCCATCTCCCTCTCCCCCGAGTGGGGGGACGCAGAAAGACATGACCAGAGAACGAGGCTGGAAAGGCACAAAGATAGGAGGTGAAAGGTGAAGGTCACGCTAGTCACATATAGCTACTCACTTTAGTATAGTGAACCTGTCAAGGAAACGTCCTGCACATGTGACGAATCAAATGTGCTTTTATCATCTAGAGTTCAGATTGTTTCCACCATTACATAACATTTTTCTTCGTTTCATTTTCTTTGTTCGCAAGTTCGTGCCGTTTCTCGTTTTTGTTGAGTATATCTCTCCTGATGTTTTGATAAGGAGACGGCATTCGGAGACGTTTGAAAGACAGGTAATGAGAACTTTGAACCCTCCCAAACTTTAAGGCTGGTTGCGCCACTGCTCAACTGAAATGTTCCTGCTGGACCAAATTCGGACCACTTCTAGTAAGCAAATGAAAAAAAAAAAAGCTGTAAAATTGTAGGTACAGATTGTTTTACGACTGGAATTTTCGAACTGGCCTGCAGCTGGTTTTGATTGACGTTTCCAGCTGGAAATTCCCAGTTAGAATGTTTTGTATAGAGGACCCTCTAGCTCAGGGGTGCACAACATAAGGCCCGCGGGGCCACACGCGGCCCGCGATGTCCTTGTTTGCGACCCGCCATGACTGATGGCGTTGTAAGCAGTGGCGTAGCCAGGTTTTCGTCGTTTCGTCCGGCTAAGCGGAAAGTTGGGGGGCTAATTGGGGGCTAAGCGGAACGTTGGGGGGGGCTAACTTCGCCTTGTCAGGTTGGGGCGGACGCATTTCGACCAGAGTTTGACCAGGCTTGAACCAAACTTGGGGGGCTTCAGCCCCCCCCCCCCCAGCCCCCCCCTTGCTACGCCACTGGTTGTAAGTGCTACTATGGCTCCTGCCCTATTGGCTACAGCTATGGTCAGCCAGACTGCGGCCGTATGTGAGTAAAAGTCACAAGCGGCCCTCACAGTCTTTTGAGTTGTGCACCCCTGCTCTAGCTGCTTCTGTAGATGGACGATCCAACAAGCCAATAAAATAAGTCTCATTCCACCGGTCGTATTGCAACTAGGAACCAATCTGGATCTGACTTTACTTTCCAGCAGTTACCCAGTTAGAATGGGTCTGAATTCATAGCTGGGGTTCAGCTGGAAATTGTAGCCGTTTCCAACCGGGATTTTAAGCTGGAAGGGAACGCGAATTCTAACTTACTCAACTTAAACCCTATCCAGCTTTTATTTACGGGTGCAAGCCCAGACGTGCCTGAAATTGTGACCCCAGAGCACTTGGCACTCCCGTCTCAGGTTGTGGGATGTTAAAATCCCCGGCGGTGAAGGCTGAATCAAGGTAGCATATCCCCGGAGTAACCGCACGGACCAAATTGAGTCTCCCAAAGTAACTCGTAAGCTGACGTTACAAGGGGAAGGTTTAGAGTGGGAGAGTGATTTAACTGGTGTCCCAGTTTCAAGGCGCAGTTACGGGCGAAGGGCCTCTTAAATACGATACCATATCGAATCGTATCGTATCGTTCGATACTCTGCAGTTCGTGAGAATGGATTAATATTGTTTGTTTTCGGCTTATTCCCCTCATTGCTTGAGCTATGCAGCAACCAGTGCTGCTCCCCCTCTGTCTATAGATTGTCATATCAATCGTACTTCCCTTTTCAGTCCCAATAAACTAAACTGAAGCCAAATGGAGGACCCAGCCTGTAGAGGAACTCGGCAACGCAGGATGAAAAGGGAGTGTGAGTGAAGAGCCTTCACGCTCCCCGTGTTTCTGGGTGCGTCACACATAGCTCCTGATTGCGCATTACTCTTCCAGCACCCGTTTCTTCGCTTTTGCTCCACGTTTTCCCCATCCCCTTTTCGCGAAGCAAGGTGCAGTACCGTAAGTTACCTTCGACGTCCCGAAATACCCCATCCTTTGGATGCGCCATCGTTAATTCCGCATGGATTCCGATTAGCCAATGAGAGACGAGGGAGAGGAGTGGGGTGTATGACGTTGACGTGGCTGGCTCTTGCCTTAGAACGCACCCTAATGTCAATGGTAATGACTCAGACCAACGTGAACGCGAGCAGTTGTTCACTGCCTTCCCCTCGATACGCAATCCAAACCCTGTCGACGTGTCCAGGCAAGTACACAGCGCTGTCACGCGCTGCCCAGCAACAAGGCCCCGGCTTGGTCGTTGACTCCTTCCCGAGGAATCGATTTCCCATACTGGGGGATTTCCCCAGGAAATATTACAGATGCTTGGGGCTCCTCTCCATACTTACGCAGGCATTACTGTCTCTGGTGCTCCACCTTTCCTTGCCCGCAGAAGCCATAACCCTGTCACGGAAGTACCTTCGAGTGAATCCCACACAAAGGAAAACGAGATAGGGGAAGCAAATGGAAGGGCTGGGAAGGGTTTGGCCTTGCATTCAGTAGTGATGGGGAAACAAAAACTCACTTTTTTTATTTCCACTTTCCGCCCTGAGAATAGAGAACAGCAGTTTTCTTGTTTTGTACCATATAGGAATCCCTATAAGCGAAAGACGCCACGAGTCCCGTAAGGATAGTTTTCAAGGAAAACGACTTGAAGTGTCCCGATATTAGCATAGGAAATACGAAGTCAGAAGAGTGAAATTCTGAGGTTTCTTCTCTCTGACCATTGAA